AGTTGTCTGATGGCTAACTTCTGAGAAGGGAACATGTCACCCTCAAGGAGCTCAGAGGCCAGTGTGGAGCCAACCATGGAAAATGGTTGGCTCTAAACCAATAAATTAGATCCCTCATTGAACCTTCTGATGAACACAGACGCCCCCCCAGCACTGAACACAGACCCCCTCCACTCAACATAGACTCTTCCACTGAACACAGACCCCCCTCCACCTAACACAGACCCCCTATAATGAACACAGACCCCTCCACTGAACACACACCCCTTCACTGAACACTGACCCCTCCACTGAACATAGTCTCCTCAGCTGAACACAGTTCCCTCCTTCCATGAAACTTGGCACAGAGTGGAATTTGCTTCTTGTCTGTGATACCCTCCTTCCTATAGAGTATTTGGCTAAGAGCAAAGACTAAAGCTTTCAGATGTATTCCCCTGCATTCAAGATTTTCTGAGGTGAGTCTCCAGTGAAGGCTTGTAGCTCCTACTGCTGTGCAGTTCTGGTTAAGCTGAATACCTGGGGGTAGATAGGGTGTTAGTGGCTACAGTTAACAAAGCCACAAATAGAAGAAGCAAGACCCAGTCCCTGGCACAAGGTGACAGAAGGGACTGCAGAGCATACAGAGATAAGGGGTTCTTGCTATGATCCATCCTGAATGTACCATATGGCTTGGGGGGAGGTAGTCCACCTCTCTGGACCTCAGTTTATTCTCCGGACAAATGGGAACAATAGTAGCTCTGCCCCTTTCTCAAGAATATTGTGGCTGTAAAAGCATCTAAAATAGCATCAAATACTAATGGATCCACAAGCCAGAAACTACATCTTCTTTCTTGAGGGTAGAGCCCATGTCCCTGCCATGTTTGCATTCTCTGAAGCAGCAGGTAGAGCCCATGACAGGTGGCCAATCAATAATGGTTGAATTGATGAAACAGAAGAAGCTGTCCAAGTCCCTGTGGAACTGCAGTTCTAACCGGGGTGGTGGTGTGGCGAGCATCACACAATGGATGGAAGCAGCTTTAGAGGTAGACAGAGAGGCCCTCCTTCACTCAGACACATCTAATTTAGAATTTGTGATGCTTTTTACAAGGCTAGAGAGGAACTGGGCCCTGCTGATGGAATGTGTGCTGAACAAACTCCTGGGGGACAGAGGTGATCACACCAGGCCCTGTCGGCCTCCGGGTGCACAGCCTGTTCCAGATGGCAGCGATCACTGTCCCTAGTACAGAAAACTTGCACAACACCAGCTTGCTTGGGAGCAGTTAGCCTGTCAATCACAGGGGAACTCTGACCTTATCTATGAAGCAGCCAGACTGTTCCCTTGACCGTGATGTCTTAATGGCCATTTAGGGTGATTGGTATGTTTAAGGAACATAAAATTTTATGTTGTTAAAGCTAAACCATTCGCAGCCTCTGTCTGTCTTTTCTTAGGGCAGCTCAGAGCCATTCATAGTTTTCAAATAAGAGTCTATGGCCAGGAGTCTGCCATGGCTAACTGTATGTGAGCCTGAGCCTGGGCTCATGGGCTCCTCCTAATGCAACAAGGGACAGCCTCATTCCTTCTGCCAGCCTCTGTTTCTTCTGCCCAGTGTTCTGGCTGGAGATCTGAGCTCCAAGGCTGGAGGCAGAAGATGTCTTATTCACCTCTCCAAGCTTCAGACTACCCGGGGAAGAGCAGACATCTAGGTAAGCTCTGGCAAGTTGGTAGGAGAGAAGAGGTCCAGGGGAAGTAGACAGAGGGAAGGGGTGCTGCTCCATGGTTACAACCCAGGATCTCAGGGGGCAGTCAAGGAGTTGTAGAAGGCACCTTGGCCATCTGGGAAATGACTTCCTTCCATCTCAGGCCAGAAAAGGAGCAGGAAATGGAGTCAAGGTGAGGTTAGAAAGCTACTGGGCTCCTGAGGGAATATTTGCCCCTTCTCTGGGGTCTCTACACTAGACCTTGTGAATTTCAGCTCACCTCTCTGTCATAGGATAGCAACATGTATTCAACACTCTGGGAGCTGTTTTCTGTGGCCACCTCCTGTTTGGCTGTCCTCTCAGTGCTTCCTGGCCTGCCCTAGAGGCTTGACTGGCATTGCCACCTCCCGCAGGAATAGCTGCTGGAGCTCTTCCCAGGGGAGCAGCATGGCCTAGTGGCTGCAGAGCGGGACTGCAGCCTGGGTATTCATGATCCCCTCAGTATCCTTCCCACCCTGAACTCAGCATATCAGGGTTAGGGTCAGAGTTAGAGTCAGGGTCAGGGTCAGGGTCAGGGTCAGGGTTAGGGTCAGAGTTAGGGTTAGGGTTAGGGTTTAGGGTTTAGGGTTAGGGTCAGGGTTAGGGTTAGGGTTTAGGGTTAGGGTTAGGGTTTAGGGTTAGGGTCAGGGTTAGGGTCAGGGTTTAGGGTTAGGGTTAGGGTTAGGGTTAGGGTTAGGGTTAGGGTTTAGGATAGGATGAGATGGGGCTGCTCCTAGCTCACCCAGCACAACGCACATTCTAGATAGGGTCTCTCCTCTAGCAGGTCACAGCTCCAGCCCAGTGCCTGGCCGAGAGAGAGAGAGAGAGAGAGAGAGAGAGAGAGAGAGAGAGAGAGACAGAGACAGAGACACAGACAGAGACACAGACAGAGACAGAGACACAGAGACAGAGACAGAGAGACAGAGACAGAGAGAGCATAAACATGAATGTACATGTGCAGGTGGAGGTCAGAGGTCAATTTCTGGTGTCACTCTTCAGAAGCCATCCACCCTGTCTTTTGAGATGGGGTCTCTTACTGGCCTGGAACTTGCTGATTCACTTAGACTGGCTGGCGAGTGAGACCTAGGGATCCTCTGGTCTCTCTCTGCCTTCCCAGTTCTGGGGTTACAAGTGCATGCCACTATGCCTAGACATTTTGGCATAGGTGCAGGGAATCACACTCAAGTTCTCCTGCTTACAGAGCAAGCACTACCAACTATTTCCCCAGCACAAGAGGAGTTTTCACCTGGACCCTTGACTGGGTGCCCTACTAGAAAGAAAGGTTTTGAGGGAGAAAGGCAAGAGAGAGAGGGTTCACTCAGGAATACTCAATAAAGGATAACCCTGGGAAGGTCTTAGGTGTGGCTTTACATCTGTCCCAGGTACATGCATGGCCATTGAGTGAGGTACTGAAACAGAGAGCAGAGACACCTGCTGGAGACAGGGCAGGCTGTGGAAGGATGAAAGGGGGTAAGGTCTCAGCCCTGGCAGAGTTGTTCCATCAGAATCCAGAGGAAGAGGTCACCATAGGGTGTGAGAAAGGATGCTGTGTGACTGTCCTACAGGTGATGATCTACAGTCCCTCGACTGATAGGAGACTCAGGACAGCTGTCTGCAGTGAGTGGTTCCTCCCCCAGAGGAGGAGTGAAAGGGCTGTACAGTGCTGGGGAGGTCAGAAGAATTGTTAGCCCTTGAAACACAACGGGACCTGGAAAGACCTCTGTTCAGAAATCTCATAGATCAAACACACATACCCCACTGCCTTCCAGTCCCTACAAGGTTTGGGTGACCATAGAAGACTCCTACAGCCAGGGTCCTATTTTTCTTTGTGCAGTCCAGGCATTAACATCATTGTTTTATTTATTGTGTGACTGGGGAATGGTAGACCAGAAGCAGCAGCAGAAGCAGCTTCTAGCAGCTGATTTTGAATTCAGGCCTTTTTAACTCTCAGAGCCCTGCTCTCTTTTCTGAGAGAGAGAGGACACAAAACTGGTCCACAGACCTGTTTTCTATGTGGATGAGAACAGGAGAGTAGGCAGAAGGTCTTATTCCAGGCCCTGGTCCTACAGACATATTGGCATCACAGGACCTGGACTCTCCCTCTCAGGCAGAGTGGTTGGTTCACAGTCTATGCAGAGGAGGAAGTTGGATGATGCTGTACTTCAAACATACCACGTGATTTCTGGCTCCACCCCACCCCATCCCACTTCCTGAGGTAAGTCCACTTTCAGGCTGAGGTTGTGGACACTTCTCACTTAGCTTCACACTCAGATGTCCTTCTGTGCAAAGTAGGGCTAACACAAGCACAAGCTGTTTGTGGGAAATGAGTAATATGATGCTGACCAGAGGCCTGATGCACACACACATGCGTGTGTGTGTGTGTGTGTGTGTGTGTGTGTGTGTGTGTGTGTATGTGTGTGTGTATGCGTGTGTGAGTGCACACTCGAACATACATACACTAACCTTGGTTGTCATTCCTTAGAAGCTATCAACCTTATTTTGTGAAGCAAGATCTCTTACTGGGACTGGACATTTCAATTAGGCTATGCTGGCTAGCCAATGAACCCCATATCTACCTGTCTCTGCCATCCAACTGCACTGGGATGGCAAATGTCTACCACAATGTCCAGCTTTTTATCTGGGTGCTGGAGATTAAACTCAGGTCCTCTGTAGGGGAGCCATCTGTAGGGGCCTATCTTAAAATGCCTAACTCCCAGGCACTGTGGCCTGCAAACTCCTTCTGTTGTTCACCCTCCTTTGCTGTCCTCTGCTCGGCCAGTGTGGCCCAATCTAACAGCTCTTCATCCTCCTGAGTGTGGTCCTTGTCCTCTGCCTTCTGTTCTGCTCACAGGACCTTAACAGCTCACACATTTGATAGCAGGATCTAACTATAATGAGCTGAGGCCTGTCTGCCTTTCCACATTATAAACCCCACAAGGACAGGACTGGTGTCTACTTCTGTTTATTCCCCACTTATCATTTGGCACAGCCATTTGCCTAAGCACTCTTCCACAGACTGTCTTCTCAAGGGAGAAGCCAGACTGACTGCCTCTACCCAGCAATGCAAGCCACTCTTTTCTTCTAGAAGCAAATCTCCTCTGTGTAGGCAGTCTCCACAACCCCAGATTTCTCCATTGTTTGACCTTTCATTGTCTTTTTTAGCATAGGGGACTATTTATAAGACTTTAAGTGATTCCCTTTTGAGGCAGCACTGAGCAAGTTCAAACTCTTCCTACTTTGGGCCAGGTATTCCTGACAGCCCCACCCCATTTGCATTCATTTACCTTTACTGAAGTGACATCAGGGGAGGAAACACAGGCAGACCTTTCCATCACCACTGGCAGCAAAACAAGTGTTAACAGCCATCTAATGCAGGGATGTGGAGGCCTGCCTCCAAACCTCACTTCCTCTGACTCCTGGGCCAGGCATCTCCAGCTTCTCTTGGAGGGATATGGGACTGGGTGACTAAGTTCCAGGCCAGGGAAATGGGCAAGAGTACATGACCTAGGGCTTGTGCCTGAGAACCTCCCCTAACTGGATGGAAGAGCAAGCTGGGAACTCTGTGACCTACAGAGATGCTCGGAAGAGTCACCAACCGGCAAAGCAGGCATTTGAATTGCTCATTTCTGTTAAGCCATTTCAATTTGGGCTTGTTTATTACAGAGTCAGCTGCCCCTGATTAATAAAACCCTTAGGCTTTCTGTGTAATTTGCATGAATGCATACAGAGATGCCTAAAGAAATCAAAACAGGCCAAAGCAGATATGGGAAGTCCCAGGAAATCAGCAGCAAAAAGGAAGTAGACAGAAGGTCTTGCCAATCCAGCAAACATCAAAAATACAAGTAAGGAGGAAAGAGAAAGGGTCTGAAGAGGTAATTTATGAGGTCAGAGAATACACAAAGGGAGGCCTCTTAGTGATGAGGAAATGTACACTTAAAGGGTGAGATACCACTTTAAATCCCTTAACTTAGCAAAATGAACTATTATGGCCAAACCCAGTGCTGAGCCTCACAGACTGAAGCACAAACTCTGAATCACCCATCGGAAATAGAAATCACTGCAACTTCTACCAACAGTAGCTTAGTAATATCCAGTAATGCTGAAAACAAGAATTCTATCCACTCAGCTAGGCTGTGGACATGCTCATGTTTGCACATTTGGTGGAGAGAGAATATCTTGGCTCTGAGCTTCTTGGGAAACTAAACAAAGAGGATGGTATGATTTAGATATAACGTGTCTCCCTCCAAAATTTAGATATAACTGGTCCCCAGTGCAGTCTTTAGAGGTGGGGCTTTTAGGAAGTTATTGGAGTGTGAAGACCCTGACTTCATCCATCGACCATCTATAGATGATAATGGTGGTATTGCTAGCTTGGAGATGGCAAATAGAACACTGAAGCTAAGGTTTTGAAAAACATAGCTGGTCCTCAACCCCTTCCCTCTCTGATGTTAGTCTCTATAAGAGGAAGGCTTTTGTGCCCAAGTGACTGCTGCCATGATACCCTGCCTCAGCGCAGCTCCCAGAGCATAGAGAAGCTGAAAGTTGCTTTCAGAACCCTCAATACCACTGCAACAAGATAGCAGGTCAGCAGTGCTGGCTTTCTGGTTCTGAGATCAAAGACAGTGTGCTTCTGTGGGTTGTTCCTGAGGACAATAGGCACTCCAATGAATGAGCACTTAGGTAACTTATCCAAAATGAATAGTAGATTCCATGCAATGATTTTGAAATGCATACACAGTTCATAAAGCACACTGTTGATTGTGAGGGTGAAATGTGAGCTGAGGACCAAAAGATGGTTTAGTGAGAACAGTTGTAGAGAGTGCAAAGCTGTGGGGCCCACATCTGAGCTCTCAGAAGGCTCAGGATGAACATTTTAGCAGCAAGGGGAAACCCCTATTCCATGATGACCATTACTCTCAAAGGAGATTTTAAACAGAGCCAAGGAGAAGACAGTATAGGTTACAACTTCAAGCACACAGCCAGAGTAAAATACCCTCTTGTGATTTTAAGGCATAGACATGAGCTGCACTGGCAACATGGGCAAAGCAGCTGCTGCCAATCCATGTAAGTGAAGATTCAGCAGGAACAGGGGCTGGACAGGTAGGCTAGTTCAGGGGTATGAGGGGAGAGTTAAAATGTCCAGGGAGGGGTAGTAGCAAGAAAATACACACAGACACAAACTGGCCTTGGTTCATCTTCCAAAAAAATTTGATGGGAGCTTCCCAGCTAAATAAATAAATAAATAAATAAATAAATAAATAAATAAATAAGACAATGAGACTGGAGTTCTGCCCTGTATTATTTCTCCACGAGAGTTCAGCCTCAGGTTCAAAGTTCATTGACCATAGTACTGAAGAGTCATGACCTGGCCCCAGTGCATAGCTTTGATAGTTCATGAGAAAAACATGGGTCCCCAGAGAAGTGAGCTCTTGACCACATCATAGCAAAACTGGCACAGCATAACCAATCCCAAGCACAAAGAAGGAGCTAGAATTCAGACTTGTTGATCCAATTTCAAAAAGAACTCTGTCATTTGTGATTTCTAGAGTGATGGGGCAAATCCAAGTTACATTCAAACCCTGTAAAGGACCCAGACATGGCTCCTGCCTGGGAGGCAAAGGCCTTGTGGTCCACATTGGGAGGAGAATGGATAATTTCCAACTGCTTTTCTCTTGGATAGAACAGGGTGACTTGAATCAGTAGGAGGAGCTCTTTATTATTATCTGAAGTGAGAAGTTTCCTGAAGCAGGTGCTGCCATTTACTGCTCAGCATAAAGGTAACAACTCTGCTTGAGTTACAGAACAGATGAGCTGGCCAGTCCTGTGGGGTCCAGCAGTTTGAAGGAAGCTTTGCCTAACACTCAGGGCAGAGCTCTGAAAGCCAATAGATAATCTTGATCCAATGGCATGGGCAGGTGCAAATGATGCTGCACAGAAATGCCCTTTGCCAGCTTCCAGCTCCCAAGAGCTTCATTCCTAAGAGCTTGTGACTTGGAAGCCTGCTTGGATCTCCAGGATCACTTCATGCAGACTGTGGAGACCCAAGTGCTGAGAGTGAGTCTGACTCTTAAGTACCCATTGGCGTAGGAAAGCAAATGGTCAGACTCCCTGTCTCTGCCAGCATAGCACTGGAATGCACTGCACCCTGCAGGGGTAGACCGAGGCACTGCCTTAGCCTCTTCCCTGTCTTCTTCTATCCTGTCTTTCTCCACTTGTACAAGAGTCTTCCCAGGGTCTGTCAGACAACAGGCCCAGCAAGAGCCTCCTAGGGCTGCTGTGGCTGGCTGCAGCTTCCCTCAGCTTGCACTCTATGCTCTCATAGTGCCTGAGTTAGGGGTAGTAGGATCCCCAGGGCCTTTATTAACTGCCATCCCATCCTGCAAGTGGGACTCTCCAATGGCAGCTGTGGGTGTCTGGCTTTTGTGAGAAGCAAGTGACTTGCTGAATGACCAAGATGGAATGCATCCTAGCTCCTGACTTGCTTTGCTGAGCTCCTCTGGGCTGCCCTGGTTTGCCTGCCAGGGGAGTCTTGGCTTCCCAGAGAAGCTTGTAAAAGCATTGAGTTTATGGCCAGAGTCTCTGCTGTCTAGTTCAGGGAAATCAGATGAGAGGCGACAATCCCCGTAGGAGTAACAGGATTACAGATAAAGTGCCACACCACAGAGGTGACAGCTGCACATACTCTCCACCTTAGACCCACAAGCCCCCCCCCCCCACACACTCCTTCCAGAATTCTTACAAACACCAGGTCAGACCTGCCAGGTCACCAGCCTCAGCCTGAGGCCACTTCCAGGCAATGCAAGCTGGAGGGCGGAACGGCTCCTTGTCATACATACGGCAACTGTTGCATCATCAGACAACAGGCCTTTGCCTGAACCTCGACTCTACTTTCATCGGCATGTGTTGTGAGCTACAGTTGAGTAATGATGTGTAAGTTGAATCAGATGCCCCCCTGAGGCACTGATGAATCTCTCAGAGGTGAGGCCCCTGCAGATGCCTTCTGGAGTCCGAATGCCAGAGAGGGTGCCCTGGCTGGGCCTTTTTTGAGGCGACAACATTCCTTTATTTCCAGTTCTCTATAGATCTGTGTGGCTGTTGGGGATGAGCTAGATATGGAAAGCTCGTGTGGCTTCTACAGCTTGGGACCATGGGCTAAGGAGCTCTCTCTCAACCATAGCAAAGGAATAAGGCTGGAACTGGTCCTGTCAGGGACGACTAGAGACCTGATACTCTCCAGCAGTGAACAACTTTCAACAGGTCACCTTGTTAGCCAGTGGCAGCAAGGGCTGGATTCCAGGTTCTTGGATTGGAAAGAGGGCTGGGGCCTGTTTCTGGCCTTGCAGTTCCCTTGCAGTTCTAAGGGAGTGGTTGCGCGCGCGTGTGTGTGTGTGTGTGTGTGTGTGTGTGTGTGTGTGTGTGTGTCTGTGTGTGTGTGTGTGTGTGTGTCTGTGTGTGTGTGTATAAGCTAAAGTTGTTTATTTTATTCAAATTGACTGGGATAGATGGTCAACACGACCCAGAGATGCTTTTCTCCACCTCCACCAGTGTTAGAAACACTGCCATGCCTGGCTTTTTAACATCAGTTCTGGGACAAGGACTTTCCTGACTGAGCCATCTTTCTAGCCCTAAGAGAGTGTTTTGTAATTTTTTTTGACAATTATACATCTGTATATAATGTATTGTGATCGTGTCCTCCATAATCCTCTCTTTATCCCTCCCCAGCTCTTGCTGACTTTCCAGTGAGTCCCTTCTTGCCCCCACTCACCCCTATTTATGTGTGTGCACAGACAGGTCTGTGCAGATAACCATACCTGCTGGGTACTTAGGACTGTGATGGCCATGCCATATCTAGAAGATGTGGCAGCTCTTGCAAGCTTTCTACCCTCTCTCTGATGATGTTCTCTGGGCCTTGGAGAGGGTGAAAGATGTCTTGCTGTGACCCATTCTCTCCACTGTCAATTATTTACAGCATATTGCCCAGTTATAAGATCATTTACCATAAACTTCTTCTTCTTCAAAAAAAAGGCCTCTCTGACCAGAATTGACAGCCCCCCTATTCTATGGGTACAAACATGGATGCCAAGGAGGAAGTTTGGCTACATGCCCACTTAGCAAAACATCAGTATTCATTCTCCCCTGGGTGGTCAAGAACCTCCCAGCCATAGGTTCTTGACCACGCTTTCAGTACCAGGCATATGTTCACTCTTAGTTCTCCAATCTGGTCAGAGAGTGATTGGCAACCCTCATAACAGTCAAGCTACTGTTGTGCCATTGGGAACATCTTGGCTGGTACCTCAGAGCTGTGTCCACAAATGAGAAATACAGTTGATGGCTTTTCTCCTCCAGCAGCCTCATAGCACCTTCCACCACTGTAGACATTACCCAGCAATCAGGACACTCATCAGTTAGGGTAGCCTGACAGGCTAGCAAGCCCCAAGGACGTCCCAGCATTGGGATCATAAGTGGCATTGGGATCAAAGTCGGGTTTTCATGCTCAAGCCATCTTCTCAGTCCCTAGTCTTCAGTCTTCATTAACTTATTCTCTCTCAAGAGTGAACCATAGTGCATCTGTGCCCATCCCTGTGTCCCCTCACTCCCCTGGGTATTCATTCCCTGATCCCCTGCAAGGTCTATGTACTGTGATCCTGGTAAGGCTCAGCCTCCAGCCCCTTTCTCCTTGCTGCACACTTTTCTCTACAAGTCAGCCCAGTTCCCACTAGACACCATCTGGAAGCTATGGCAAAGTCTCAACCACCTCACAAAACTTATCCAATCCTTGCTGTTCCCTAAACCTACTCCTCTTCAGGGAAACTCATTTTGGATATCTGCTTGGCCTTAAATGTACCCCACTGCAGCAAATGGCCCAAGAGTGGCTTAGCTAATCAAGCCAGAAATCTGGCACTATCCAGCTCCTTCCCACCCACTCGCCCTTC